ATATGGGGTTTTAAACTGTCATTAAATATAAAAGTCAGTAACCGATGTAAAAGTTAGTAACTAAATATAAAAGTTAGTAACTGCATATGGGATTTTAAACCTCCACACAAAATATATAAAAGTCACACTTATTATAGAGCATTTGACAAGTTGTCAGTTTTCTATAATAAGGGGTAAAGTAAAAATAACGATAAAAGTCATTCTAGTTATACATCCCTTAACTAATTGACAGTTTTCTATAACCATGGTAAATAATAAAAATTATAGCAATAATAAGACTAAAGAGATAAGTTTAGAAGATATACTTAGTGTAGTAATAACTTTCGATATAAACGATCGTGCTGATAACGTGTAGAGAAAAATAGATTTTGAATATTTGTTAATATTTGTGAACTATACAAGTTACTAAACTAATTGTAACTATTAAGATTAGATGAAAAGATTGAAGAAGGGAGAATGATTTTGTACTTTCAAAACAAATTCTTGGTATATTTTTTACATTAGTTAAAGGTAGTATTTATACTATTAAAAATACAACTATTACACTAATGTAATAATTAGACTTACTATTTTAACTTTGACAAATTATGTATCTACAATAATTTTTCGTTATTATTTATATAAATATTTCTAAATAATAATAATAATAATAATAATAATAATAATAATAATAATAATAATAATAATAATAATAATAATAATAATAATAATAGTATTATAACAGAACTGAAGTAGCCAAACATTTAATTTTAAAAACTTTTAAAAAAAATTAGGAGTATTAATAAAAAGACATAATTAGCCATTAAGTCCTTTAAGTTTGAGCGAAATTGTTTCCGAAGTAAAAAACATTACATAATGATCTCTTAACTCCATTTTCGTTAAACCATTTGGTCCCTACGGTTAATTTTTGTGAACATTCAGCTTCTGTGTTATAAACATTATAGGGTTCTTGGATTCCATCATCTTCCATTTACAGTGTTCATCCATATTTCCTTTTCTTCCATTTTCTTCTCCAAATTAGAGTTCAATGTCAAAGATTACAAACAATGTTTCAACGTCAAACAGGCAAAGCTATGATACATCTGGATTTGTGTTTCGTAGAAATAAGATAATGTAGCATTTTTGCCAAGATGAAAATGTTCTTCGAATAGTGAATGATATGAACAATATCAACTACGGGAGAAAAATTTTGGGTTGTAGAAATTACATAAATTACATGGATAAGGGTTGTAGTTTCTTAAGTGGTTAGGTGATAAGTTTGTTGATGAAAGGGATTTGAAGTTTGAAAGACAAGAGAAGAAAATTAACAAATTGAAGAATGAGGTTATCTACACTAGATGATGGCTGAAAATGTACATTGTGGTTGGGATGTTGAGCTTAGGGTTGAACCTTGTGTTTGTAACAATACATTTCAATTAGAATGAGGGTAATTCGATGTTATGTTTTCACATTTTTAATGTATTCTTAAGTTGGTTTAATAAATAATGTTAGTGTCTATTTCAACACATTACCAATATTTCTTTATTATTCTCTATTTTATCTGTGATACATAACTGGTATAAATTTGTCTCAAAATTTAACCTGTTAAAAATGCAGCTTAAGCACCTTATTGGGATGAATCAAAATAGTAAATAGACTCATTTGCAATAAATTATAAAATTAAGGGTCTTTATATTGGCTCAATAACAAAAGGTCATTATAAGGCATTAATATAACATTCAAAAATGTGATACAAATACAAAACAAATAGGTCATTGTCAATAAGGAAAAATGTGTCTTACAAAATGACATTCTAAAATGTGCCTTAAAAAAACAAAACAAATAGGCAAGTAAAAGGCATAACAAAATGACATTACAAAATGTGATCAGACATCATAGCAAACATCAAGGTTGATTTGAAACAGACTTGCCACCCTTATATGAAGTTTTTTTTAGTTTTAGGTGGTGGCCGACTTGTAACAATTGGTGGTGGTGGTTGAGTTGTTCCTTCTTGTACCTGACTTGAAATATTTTTTGGTGGTGGCTGATTTGTTGCTTCTTGTACCTGACTTGAAACATTTGTTGCTCCTGGTTCCTGAGTTGTTCCTTCTTGTACCTGACTTGGACGAGCTTGTGGTTATGGTAGTTTACAGGTGACCTTATTGTGACCATTTTTGTGGCAAAGACTACACTTGATACAATTTTTTGCCCTTTTCATGTGTGTCTCATCCCTCACTATTTCTCCAGCTCTCCAGCTTCCCTATTCCTTTTTTTCTCTGACCTTTCAGACTGCCTCTTTATTGATGGTGGCTGAAGATCAACATCACTAGTTTTGTCCCACCAGGCTTCCCCATTAAGTGGATAAATAACAAGTGCATAGCAAGTTGAACATTTTTCCTTCTTGTAACAGTCAGGTACAAAGTCGTCAATTTATAAATGTTAATCCTTCATGCAAGACATTGCATGACAGCATGGAAGTCCAATCAGCACTCATATTCTACATGAACATTCTTTCTCGTAAGGGTTGACAGCATATTTTTCTCCATTGAGTGAAATATGTCTTATCTCATAGTCATATTCACTTGCACGCTTGTAAAAAAGTAGTCATTTTAATGTTAGTCAATGTAATATTTTAACATATAAATTTAATAGAGTAAAAAGACAACAAATCAACCATGTTACCTCACAATCTAATTATTTATTTTTTGTGACCCCCTTTCTATCATCTTTTTGATGTTTGGTAGTATGATACCCTCATATTTGACAATTTTTATCTATTGAATTCTCATCTCTACATTAAATACACTAATTTTTTTATAAAATAATTTTTTATTTATAATCCTTAAAATGTTTCTGACGCACAAGACTTTGTAAATAGTTTTTTATTAACTCACCAATATGTCTCTCGAATTGTCATAAAGATATATAACGCATAGCATGTGTCCAACATTTGCATTGACAACCTTTAAAGTATTTATGCATCTAATGAATGTAATGAAAATAATATTGATTATTGAACTTTTTAAGTTACTTCACTCTCAATTATTGAATTCATTTGATTGTTTTCATCCTTGCCAATAACGAATACTAACTAATCTACTTACCTTCCCTTTATATTCAGTCATATTTCATTTGTAATAAATAACTGTTTTTACATATAAATGCTTTTATAGTTATGTTAGTTAGTTATATTTTATTGAATGCTTGAGTTGCAAATTATCTTTTGTATATATAAGAACTTTACCAATGCAAGTGGAGCAAAAGACTCATTATATAATTTTTAATTTTTCACAATTCTTATTATGATATACGTAGTGTGGATAAATAAAAGATTCATTTTCTTCTTCTTCCTTTTCACAATCTCCTACACCTTACATCTTGATCTTCATTCACATTTTCGCCAACGGATGTGCTTGATCGTGAAGATTCGTTCATAACACAACAAAGTCAACAATCACACAATCAACAATAGCAAAAACCAACAAAACAACAATCAAACAAATAAAACTCTGACTATTAATCAATCAAGTCCCTATTATTTTCACCCCGCCGAAAATCTTGGTTCAGTTTTTGTTTCTCCTCCTCTATTGAAAAACAACTATGAATCTTAGAATCGTTTAATGAAACACACATCTTGATCAAAAATAAGATTAAATTTATCAATGCCAAACTTACAACACCACCAGAAGATGATGCTCTCTTCGCTACTTGAGAAAGATGCTACAACATTATTCTTTCATGAATTTTAGCATATTTATCTCCTGATATTGCTCAAAGTACCATCTATGTCGATAATACTGCTCAACTATGGACAGATCTTCACAGTCGTTTTTCCAAGAGTGATCATTTTCGATTATTTGATCGACTTTAGCAAATTCATTCCATGAGATAAGGTGAAAATTTTGTGACATCGTACTTCAATGAGTTAAAAACACTTTGGGAAGACCTAGAAGCTCTTAAAATTCTTTTAAATTTCACGTGTGGTGTACACCTCACAATCAAAAAGCAGTGAGATATAGAATATGTCATATGCTACTTAAAAGAACAATGAGGAATGATCATTATGTCATTTGCTACTTAAAAGGATGACAATTTCAACAATGAGAAATGATCATGCAACTTGAAACTATATCAGATACTTTCAGAGATATATCTCCGAAATAATCTAACATGCAAAGGTGACAAAAAAAATCAAATTGATCAATATTCATATTTTCTCCAAATTGTTTCAAAAATATATCTCCGAAATAAATCTTTAACAACTTTACGAGATGTCATCCAAAATAACCTTCCTTAAGTGTGAAAATAGTGTGTTCAAAGATATATCACTAAAAACAATAAGCATTATAGAAAATCAGCATAGTCTAAGAAATTCATAGGTGCCTTAAAAATTTCTCTTGTTAATAACTACATTTATTTAGTCTACTAACTAGCTTTTTCAAATTAGTCCATAATTTCGTGAACATAATAAACATTCCTTATGGTATATAAAGCCATAAATTAAGATGAAACTAATTTATATTTACCTTTTCATTCAAAAACAAATGATAGTAAATAATTTATTATCACAATGTAGATATCATGACATAAATCTAAATCTTGGAACAATAATGACATATATGAACTAACAAGTTCAACAATTTACTGTCAAGAAAAACAGGAAAAATGGCAACTAATAATGAAATACAAAAACATTTAGACCCCCTAAGGGATGGGCCACTATGTTGAAGAAGCTTGGCATATGAATTAGCCAGCTGAAAAACAAAATCCTTAGCTTTATGGTTTAACTTTTTCCCTCAATAAACAACTCTAAAACAACATCAAAACAAAAATTATACAACTGATGAAAATACTGACTCTGGAAGCTCCACTTAAATATCATACTGTAATAGAGATTGCTCTATAACTCAAAGTATGAGCATAAAAGTAAAAGTAATTTCAAAGTAAATAAACAACGCAGAGAGACATTCATGCATTCTCATCCAGATATAAGTCTTCTTGTGCGTGCAAAATCTTTCGATTCACTGGAGCAGAGCTTGGCATGCCTCAATATCAGATGCTTGTGCATCCAACACAGCTTGCCCAGATGAAGAGCTAATTACCTGGACCGCAGCTGTGAATATTGCTTTCTGGAAGTAGTCATCACTCACCTTATTAAGGATTTCTCTAACCACCTTAAAGTCCAAACCACCAGCCAAAACTAGTTTCCCTATTATCTCACCAAAGTTGCTCGGTGCTTTAGGTAAATCTATGCCAATATCATCAAGCAGAGAAGCAAATAACAAACATCCAGTTCCTATGTCTCTAGCTGAGAGAATCTTCTTCAAAAATAGATACTCAATAAGCTTAGCAACAGGTTCAACACATGGCGGGCTTTTATCTAATCCAAGGGAAATGGCTTCCTTGACAAACTCAGGGTAATATGTCGGAGCTTTTAATTCCTCAACGCACTGCAATGCCTCATCCAAAAGCCGGACATTGAAATACTCTTGCAGAAGAGATACAGTTTTGCGTTGTAGGTCATCAATATTCAATTTTGCAGCTGGGGCCTGGGGCTTCTCAGGGGATACAGCAGAAACAGGTTTAACGGGTGAAGATATTTGAGGCGCAGGCTCTAAAGCTGAAGCAAAGCTTGTTGGGCGACCTCCATGAACCAGTGCACTATTTTTCCCACTTACAAGGCCACTGCTACCTTGAGGCAGTAACTTTGAGTTTAGGGCAGGGGATGGCTTGGAAAGGAAAGGAGACTGGCCACGTCCTCCAGTTTGCGACATGTCTCCTCTTGGCATAGATCTAGTCCTAGGCACCTCCCAGTTATCATTATCAATACCAGGCATCCCCGGCATCTTCCTCACACCCGGCATCCCAGGCATTAAACCTCCTGTACCAGGCCGTGCAATGGGAAAGCCCCCAGCGCTGGTATTTCCTTGAATACCAGTAACACGGGTGTTTCTCATACTAGCAGTGGCACCTGGACGCAATCCAAGATTCTTTTCGGCCTCCGAATGAATTTCAGATATGGTTTTGGCCTTTGCCTACATACAGATAGAGTATAACATTAATACTTGATATATATAACAAACAAGTAAATTTAACTTTTGAATTGACAATATATCTACAGAACAATAAATTTTGCAAGCTTACCTCTTCACGTCTTGGGATCCAGTTACTAGCACGCAAATCTATAACATCGCGCACCATGAATCTCATCCTTGGTACAAGTTGTGGATTGGTGCTCAATTCTTTCAATCGGCCAAAATACACATCATTTATACGTCTTGATTTTGGGCTTTCATCAAGCTGCTTGCCAATAGTGTTGAAAAAATGACATATGGCTTCAACATTTTCCTCAGCTGGACAGACTTTGCTGTCGGAAGCTCCTAAAAGCTCCTGTTCATAAACATCATTCAGTTAACCAGGCAGGTAATTAAATACTCTCAAACCAATAAGAAATTGCAAAAAAGAGTCAAGTCATAAGTCTTGATATAACCTGAACAATGTGATGGACAATCTTTTCAGGAACCATTTTTTGCTTCAGCAGCTCACCAATTAAACGGATGTTTCCAAGGGTACGAATCTTGACAACTCTTTCCTTGTCACGTCGCTCTGACTCCTGCTCAGGGGAAGTCATCTGCGCTAATTCTTCCCTCAGTTTACCAGCACCTTCAAAAGCCTCCTGGCAGTTATTCAAGAGTACTCTCTTAAAAGTAATTTCTTTACCATCAGGTTCTTCAGATGGGAATGGTGGCAGCTTTTCGTTAAGATCAGAACACAGCTGTGCATACATGGGGCAGAATGTTGGTTCAAGCACTGCCTTATCAAATATCAGTGAAATAACTCCCTGCAATTGCAAAGAAAAACCTTATCAACTACCAGTGAAAAAACTCCATGCAATTACAAAGAAAAACAGTTGAGAACACAACAGGGAAACAGAGAAATATTATCAAAAAAATAAAGAACCTTCAATATATCAGCTGATGTAATGCCAGATTCGATCAACTGACCCTTCAAAAGATCAAATTTTTCTGGAGTCAACTTGTTCAGTATACTGCATTATAGTTAACAGCATTTAGAATAGTGGTAGCACGAATGGAAGTTAGGATTTTATAAAAACAAAGTCAATTAATAATCTGTATCGAACACTTAAAAAGATACTAAAGAAATTACCCTTTAACTGTTTTTAAGACACGGTCCTTGTCAGAGAGACTTCCCCTTCTAAAAGACCATGGTACCTCAGCCTTTACTAGAGTAGGAGCAGGTCCTCCCTGAAATAATTAATAGTACAAGAATAAAATAATGAAGTCATAAAACATATAAAACAAAAATAGATAACATGAAGTTTTGCCAATGTTTATTACCCCTTGGTTAGAACGTGGGTACTGAGAATTCGGTTGACTAGTGCCAAACTCTCTATTCTCCTTGATATTATCCCAGGACCTCTCATCTGCGTTAGCCGGAAGTTGCGCAGATCGACCACGCCAGTCACGATTATCTGGTTCAGCATATCGAGTTTGAGTTTGAGTTGGAGCCTGCAGAAGAAAACATAAAAATCAATACACGAAATTTAAACTAATTATTTTGATGGACATAAAAAAATTTATAAAAATGCCAATGTATCATTGCATGCGTCAAAAGAATAAAATAGCAGAATATCATTCGAACACAATAATTTTTCATTCATGGTTGTGATAAGACCCAGCAAGATACTACTATTAGCACCTTCGTGATAAATCAATCATAACTTACCCAAGAGGATGAAAAAGAATTTAGGCCTTAGAAAGCTAAGAGAATAAATAGAAGACAGAAAAGACACTTACATTGCTTTCAACACGACCCCAACTTTGATCTTCACCAAAAAGTTCAGCATCGATTTCATGTCTGAGCTTTAAAATATCTTCAGGGGTCTCCTCAACAGTCTATGAGTAAAAGAAATATTAGTCATAAAATACATGGATTTAATATTAGTTCACTAGAAAAAAAAGAGTAACAAAAATGAACCAAAAGTATACAGAATATTTATCCAAAGACTTAAGAGAACAGCCCGGTTAGCCATCTAATGAATCATATGCTTCCATGAAAAAACTCAGAATATTATAGAAAGGATTGCAAATAGATAGCATGTGAATAAAAAACTCATTAAGGAAAAGTATTACTAATCCAAAGAGCAAATTATCAATACCTCCTTAATATGCAGGAGCTCTTCTCTTGAATATCGCACCCGCTCACGGCCTTCAAACTGTGAATCTCCAATCTATAATGCAAGTAGTAGTTAGATACAAATCACATAATATAGCCATAGGCAATCAAGAACAATTCAAGCATACAACCCAGAGAACAAATGAGTTAAAATAAGAAATAACACATAAATTACATGTACTAACATCACAGTGTAAATAAATAGCTATCAAGTTCAATTCAGTCGTCAGTAACATTTAAAAAAGAACTGCCATCAGAGCAGAGTAGAAATATATTGAAACCTACAGCAACTATGAAAATTCAGTTCATTTGAGGATGAAACACAAACAAACCAAGCAGTAATCAATATGAAATATGGATGATTGGTCCATAGATAAAAACATAAATATAAACCGTAATACAACGGAAAATATCAGATTCTATGCAACATAGTTGCTGCAAACGACCAGAATTCTGAAATTTAGTTCAATGTATGTGGGATCTTTATGGGTATTTTGAGACTTCGTCAAACCCACCTAAAGCCAACACATTGCTTTCTGTCCATATTTACAGCAAGTACACATACTTAAGTGTCCCACCAAGAATTAGGACATTACAATCAAACCTCACTGTTGTTTATGGATGTTAACTTAAATCACCAGCTGCTAACAGAAAACAAAAACCAGACATTCAAAATCATGACACCTCACATCTCAATTTAAATATAAAACTTACAAAAGGAAAAAAGGGCAACAGAATGACTCTTGATATTAATCAAGTTGAATTAACTCAAAAACAAAAATGTAATAAACACGGAGAGGGTGCCGTAACAACCAGAATTCTAAAATAAAGTTCAGTGTATGCGGGATCTTTATGGTAATTTGAAATTTAGTCAAACCCACCTAAAGCCCGCGAATTGCTCTCTGTCCAGATTTACGGCAAGTACACACACTTAAGTGTCCCACCAAGAATTAGGACATTAAAATCAAGCCTGACCACTGTCTTAACTTAAATCCCCCTTATGTTAAACAGCAAACAAAGGACGGTAAACATAACACACAAGTCTTGTAGTACATAACAGTTACCTCTTCTAAAGCATTATCTAAATGCTTATAAACAAACTAGTTAGATTCCAAAACACACAATCATCAAACCCAAAGCATTCAAATCTACGGATTAAGACAAAATAAAACCACATAATAAAGTCACGGTGCTATTAAACACCAACGCCAAAAACTCAAAAAGGTAAATTTAAACAACCAAAACGCAGCAACAGGTTGAGTCTTAATATAAATAGTTGATCTGAAATAAATATATAAAAATAAAAACTTTAAAAACCCATATTATAACTACACGAAGAACCCATCAACACAAAAAGAAAATATATTTAATAAAATTAAATAAAATTAAAAAGATAAGAATCAGATCCAATAGAAAGGGGGTTTATACCTTGAATGCAAAACGAGGTTGAGCGGCACCATGTTGACGAAGAAGATCAGACGGAAAGGAACCAAAAGCCGGGGAAACCGATGAGTTGGAAGAGGAAGATTCAAATCTAGGCGCAAGAAGCCTGTTTCCTCGACCACCACCAGGTCTCAAGCTCAAAACAGTTTGATCACCTTGCTGCATACCTTGCGAGATCTTGCGTTTTAGAGAGATTGGAAACAAACAAACAAAGCGGCGGCGATTGAAAGAGGATAGGATAAATGGAAGAGATTGGGATTGGATTTTGAGGAGAGAGAGAGAGAGAGAGAGAGGGGCTAGGTATTGGATATTTCTCTCTCTTCTGCGGAGTGAGAAGAAGAGAGAACTGCGTGCGTTACAACGGAGGGGTGATAAAAAAACCCTTATTAGAGATTTGTGCGTTGCGTTGGGTACCTTTCGAATTAAATATTATTATATCTTTTTCATGAAATTAGGTTAACTTAGAACATACTATTTATCTAGGGGTAACAATTTCAGTATTTCACTACCCAACCCATCAGATTTTATTTTATTTTACCTCATAAATATTTTATTTTATTTATATTTTTACTTAACACGTCAGATTTTATATTATAGCAAAATTTTATCTTATAACCACATCCCTTCAAAATTAATTCTTAAATAAAATATTTACTTAAGTTAAAAGAAGAAGAAAAAGTTAAAAGTTTATCTTATCTTTACAAAAAAGAAAATATAAAAAAAAATCTCAAATTTATTTAAAATATATATTTAAAAGTTTATTTAAATTTAGGATAATTTTGTTTCATAATTATATTTCATAGTCTCTTCAATAACAAAAGTTATTTAGAAAAAGCATAATAAATTTTGAATATATCTAAATAAATGTTTAGATTTTTAATATATTTATGAAAATGGAAAATTTTGTAATTTTAAGTGAAATTAAAGGATTTGTTATCATTTTTATAAAAGACATGAAGATCATAATTTTTTCTTTGCAAAATAGTTGAGTGAAATACATTATCGGATATTTGAAAAGATATTTGTTGAATATATTATTCAAAGGATATATATATTTCTCTTTTCTTAACAAAGTTGTGGAAAATGAGATAAGAGAAGATGGATCTTATTACATGTTAGTTTTTAGAGCATAAATGCATATATTTGTTTAGATTGTATGTATGTTTAGAAGTTGCATAATATATTTAGGCATGTGACTGTTTTTATAAAATCTGCGAGGGTGGAATATTAGGTTTATTGGGAAAAAAACAGATTAAATATGTTTCAAATATGTTTTGGTGGTATAAAAAGACAGTAATATTTCTTCATTTAACAAATTAAATGTGATTGAAAAATAATTGATAACATAAATAAGAAAATGAATAACCAAGTATCTGAGTTTGAGTGGTAAATTAATTTCTACTAAAGAACGAAGGTTTGGAAAATACTGAGATCGAATTCTAGATTACTAGGGTTCTGTTCTTCTAAGAACCAGAGGATGAAAACCAAAAAAATAAGAAGGAGAAAATGAATAAAGGAATCTATTAAAAAAGAAAATATATTCAGGGTACTTTAAGTTATTTTAATGTAACAAGATAGTTTTTTATATTTTTTTCGCTACAAGTTTGTCTTTTATGTTTAACTAATATGTTCGCCATTGACCTTTTTCACAAACTCCATTCCAAAAAAGTTTATGTGGCACTAACGACGCTAATGTGTCATTTAAGGAGATGGTGAAGAAGATGTTGAAGATGTTAGTATAAGTCATAATGTTGTTAGTTTTGATTTTTGTAGTGTTGATATATATTTTGATTCAGAAGTGGTGATCATTGTTAATTTTGATGTTAGTGTCGTAAGACATGACTTTTTGTACCTTCATGTAACACTTGTCATAAGTGTTGGAATTCAACCACAGCCTTTGGAAAATTTCACTTAATCTTGATTTCAAGATTGCTATCAATCACGCAATGGCAATGAAAATAGAAAGAGAGAAAGAAAGAAGAAAGAGAGAAAGAAAGAAAATAACGTTGGAGAAGAAGATAAATATTCTGCAGAGTTTCTCTCTCTGCCCACAAACTGTGGAAACTTTCTTGATTCACTTGCAACTGCAAATTCTATGAATACAATGTTATGAGTCGTTCTTTTCAAAAATAAGGGTTACTCCTTATTTATATATTTAGGTTAGCTTACACCCCAAGACAAAGCCCAAAACTATAAAAGCCCAAAATAGCTAACATTATTAAAATAGGCATAGGTCGAAATTCTGTGTGAAGGAACCTGCTTCGACACTTCGACACACTAATACAGCCCGACACACACATTAGGTAATTCGATAAGTCATTGTTTCTGTCAAGCCACATTGCTTCGACACAAGGAATTACAAACTCAACACACCACCTAAATCATTGTGTCTAAGTTATCTACCTTCATCATAAACCTTAGCTTCTTTAACACTTTGACTTGCACTCCTTTTGTCATGATATCTGCAATGTGATTCTCAGTTTGTAGTGTTCCAAATTTATCTCCCCTTCTGCTATCTGCTCACAAAGATAATGGAACCTCATTTCGATGTGCTCGCTTCGACCATGTGCTATCGGATTATTCGCCAAATTGATAGTTGGCATGCTATCGATCTTCATAGGTATTGCTCCATGATTATTCGTTGTAATCTCTTCGATCAGGTTCACCATCCATATTGCTTGACATGCACAGAGAGAAATAGTTATGTATTTTGCTTCGCACGACGACAATGCCACCACTGCCTCCTTTCTCGAACTCCAAGCAACTAGTGCACCACCTAGCATAAACACATAGCCAGTTGTGGATTTTCTATCCTTAGTATCACTACATCAACTTGCATTGCATTCTTTTCCTTCTTCAGTTGCAGGAAACAAGATGTTGTAGTCGAAAGTTCCTTTCAGATACCTTAGTATCCTCTTCATCGTTGTTAGGTGTGATACCTTTGGCTTCTGCATGAATCTACTTACCATACCCACACTGTATGTTAAGTCAGGCCTTATGTGATAGAGGTATCGAAATGGCCCAATAAGTCTTCTATATATTTGGTTGGGTCGACATCATCTTGATTTGAATCCTTCGACAATTGCAATTTGGTCTTAGTTAGAGTCGAAGTTGGGTTGCAATCTTGCATCTCAAATCTCTTGAGTATTTCACCTGCATATCTTCTTTTGTGCATCATCAAACCTCTACCATTTTTTTAGAATTCGATGTCAAGCAAATATAAGAGATTTCCCAAGCCTGACATTTCAAACTCCTCACTTAGGTCATGTTTGAAATCTTTGATCTCCTTCTTGCAGCTTCCTATTATCAACAGGTTATCAACATAAAGACATAGTATAAGCAATTCATTATTGCTTCTCCTTACACATACTCCATGCTCATTTGTGCACTTCATAAATTTCTTCTCCCTTAGAAAGTTGTCGATCTTCTTATTCCAAGCTCTTGGAGCTTGCTTAAGTCCATATAGAGTTTTATGCAGCCTGCACACCTTTCTTTATTCGCCTTGTTTCACAAACTCAGCTGGTTGTGTAGCATAAACTTCTTCTTCTAAGAGGTCATTCACGAACGCACATTTCACATCCATCTGACATACGTGCCAATTTTTCATGTTTGCTAGACCAACAACCAACCTGATTGTTTCGATCCTAACAATAGGTGCAAAAACTTTGTTGAAGTCGATTCATTCCTTCTGTAGAAATCCTTTCTCTACAAGTCTCGCCTTGTATCGATTTACTTATCCTTTAGGATTCAATTTAACCTTGTAAACTCATTTCACATCAATTTCCTTCTTGCATTAAGGCAATTCGACAAGTGACCAAGTGTTGTTAACTTTGATGGACTCTAACTCTTCGGTCATTGCTTTCACCCGCTTCGAATCTTTCAATGCCTCACCTACATAACTGGTTCGACATCTGCGTAGAAAACATAGTGTACTAGCTCACCTTCTTCCTCGACCACTTCATCTGATGTAATCATACATTCTTACAATCTTGCAGGCATGTGTCTTATTCGTTGAGGTCTGCTTGGGCATGTTTCACCTCTGACTTCTTCTTGTCGAACTTCTCTTTTGACTTCACTAACTGGTCCATCACATAAGATTCTCACTGAATCCTTCTTGACATTCTCAGTTTAATTCCATTCCTTAAGCTCATTTATGATCACGTCCCTGTTGATCACAACTTGCTTGTTCATTGGGTCGAAGAACTTGTATCCTCTAGTTGAATGATATCCTATTAGGATCATTTGACTCGACTTGTCATTAAGCTTTCTTCTCAACTAATCTGACACATGTCTATGTTATATATATATATATATATATATATATATATATATATATATATATATATATATATATATATATATATATATATATATATATATATATATATATATATATATATATATATATATATATATATATATATATATATATATATATATATATATATATATATATATATATATATATATATATATATATATATATATATATATATATATGAACACCTTCAAATGAATTGGGATAAGCTTGACACCAGACCAACATTCTTCTGGCGTGATTCCTTCTAACTTCTTCGTCCGACATCTATTCAAGATGTATGTTGCTATCGATACAGCTTCTCCCTATAATTCTTTGGGTAGATTCTTGCCTTTTAAAATGCTTCTCACCATATTCATGATGATTATATTCTTCCTCTCTGCAATTCCATTATGTTGTGGAATGTAGGGTGACACCACCTCATGCACAATTCCTTTTTTCTCACATAATGCGTCGAAATCTTTCGGCACATACTCTCCACCACCATTAGTCCTCAGAATCTTTAGCTTTTAACCACTTTGTCTTTCGACCATTGATTTAAATTTGGAAAATATCTCGATTACTTCACTTTTCTTATTGAGCAAGTAAGTCCACAGTTTTCAACTGAAATCATCTATGAACGTGACAAAGTATCTGTTACCTCCAATCGAATCCATATGGACATGACCACATACATCAGAGTATATGACTCCGAGAGTTGCCTTCGACTTGCTTCTTGAATCCTTGTTGAAGTTATTCTTGTGTTGTTTCTCCTGAACACATTCTTCACATACTTCGCTTGGAATGTCGATTTCTTGTAATCCTAAAACCATATTTCTTCTCTTCAAGGCTCTGATGTATTTGAAAT